TAGAAATATTTAGTATCCTTCCGTGCTTTAAATCGGCAAGGGCATGGCCTCCCCCTGACAGGTGCTCTCGACCCACAGAGAGCTCCCTGAGTTCGAGACCCCATGGAACCCTCTTAACTCTTAAAAAGAGAAGGCATAAAAGCGAGCCCTAAGACCATCTAAATATTAATCAGTACAAGATACAGGAGGATACTAAATATTTCTAAGTCTTTTAAATCTTCTGATGCTAGCTAAAGCTTAATTTCTAAAACTGTTTTAGGAACCTGGACTTCTTTACTCTTGTATACACCTCGGGTTTTAGATATTCAGCAGGGAAGACAATTATTATAAGCAGATAAGTGGTTACAGAGCATAATATTAGAAGCAGTCGTCATTCCTTGGCTGATCGGATGCCCTACTCTTTCTCAGTTACTAAAAAAATAGTCTACTGCAAAGCTATTTATTCGTGGCACTGTTCGCTTCAACTTAGTTTTGTCTTTACTTTTGTTTGCTTGTAGTTTTGTACAATTCCATATATGGCAACAATTTGAAAAGTCTGCATTGTAGGTTTGCAGGTTTAGAAGGAATGACTTTTTTGTGGAAAACTTTATTGAAGTAGAAGTGTGTATATTTTAACTGAGATATTATGGGGCAGTATATGGGCTGCACAGACCAAGTTCATCCGTGCCAGGCAAAATGTGAAGTGTGCATTTCACTGACTGACACACACGTCTGCGCTTTGGGGAGGGCATTGCGTACGTGCTAAGAACTGCTAATCCACTACCTGTCCTTTAGGATAGACATGAAAGTTAAGGTATAAAACTGGGAATCATTGCTGTTCATCAATCCAAACTAATGGGACTAATAAACTGAAACAAGAGCAGATTTATATTCACTGCTCGTACAAACTTATCTTTGAAAACAGAAGATCCCAAAAAAATGTGATCCTAAAAATAACCTTTCTGGCTACACAAATAATGACACCATGAACAGAAAAAAAATATCAAGTTCACATATTTTACACACACACACACACACACACACACACACACACACACTTAAATGCAGAGTTTGGTGGGAGGTGAATATACAAGTAAAACCTAGAATGTATTCTGCAGCTCGTCACTTTTCCAAATTGAGTAAGTTAAGGAAACATTTTCACATTCACCTTTTGACAACATTCTGATCTTGGGTTTTTCAGAGGATTTATCTTTGTTTTTATCCTGTTCTTTTTCTCTTTCAGAGTCATCTTTCCTAGATTTATCATCCTCTTGCAGGCTGGGAAAACTGGAAAGCTGTAAATGAATTGATTCCTGTTGGGGAAAAAATATAATAATTTAGGGCCAGATTTAATAATTTCTGTCTGGTTTCCATTTTGCATAGAGCTTATCAAGTACAAGCAAATGAAAGCCAGGTGCAGATTTTTTTTTTTCTCTTAAATGGTAAAAAAAATTAAACCTGTCAGAGAAATAATTGCCCTTGTAGGTGAATTAAAGTTCAGAAGTCAGTGGGAGGTCAGGGGAAAATATCTAGTACTAAAACTTTGCCTCACGATTATTAAGCTTAAGCGAGTTACTTTCCTGTAGATCACAACTCTTATTTTCTCTACAGGCTTATTTTTAAACCCCTAGAACAATTATTTCTCGGTAAGCTTGCATCACAGCCGCTGCGATGTCTCAAACAAGGAGAGGCCTCTACAGTTCTTTGCTATAAGTCCCTGGAAGGAGAAACTGGCACAAATACAGACAGACAGATGTTACGAATCATAATTACAGATAGAACAGACATAAATAAAGGCCCTAATGGCCACTTTACAACTATATCAACAATGATGTTTTACTACTAAAAAAACCAAGCTATATAATTGCAGGAATCTTAGGTGTGCATTATTGTCACACATACACTGCTTACAAATGCCGTTAATAAATCATCACAATATATAGTTACAATAAGCATTGCCTTTTAGAAAGAGTAGAAAATAGAATCATATTTTCCATCAATTATATATAAATACCTAATATTATTTTAATTTTAGTATCAGTTAACTCCTTTCCAAAAATGTAAGATTCTCTTGGATTGTTGCTTGGTAGAAGATTGAGCATTTACAGTACTTGGGCTGAACCCACTTTTATATTTATTTATTTAGCACTGAAAATGAAGCATTTTGTATTAATTTGTATATCAGCCATTTGGTTGATAGTATGTTCACTGTTTTGAAGAAGAATGAACCGAATTAGGTTTTTCAGTTTTATGAAAATCCCATGCTATGATTAAAACTATGACAAATTAGCCAACATTAAGCCCACGTGTTCTTATGTAAGAGATCATTTGATGGGAAAGCTTTCTTTTACCAGTGACATTAAAATTTATGATGTAGGGAAAAAAATATTCCTAGTGACTAATCGTGTTTTTCACTGAAAACTAAACTAATGCTCATCTACATGTGACTAAATTGATGCTGTATATTCTCAAATTGCAGCCAATCTGGGATTCTTAATGATTCTTGGTTAACTCGTCTAATCTAACAAGCATAAAATCAAAGTCCTCCAAAGCCAAGTTTCTTTAGTGGGAGGGGCTCCACTGTGAATTCGTGGCTGGAATAAAAAGTCACCCATGGTTGGAAAGATGTGTGAAATAGAAGATAAAATAAAATACGTTCTCATGATACATATTTATCTTAGCTGATTTTCTGACAGTCACATATTTATCCTGGAGATGAACATATATGAAATATGTAAAACAGAGTGTAATTTGATGATAGGGTCTTTTATCACTTGATTTGGGATAGAAATGTCAATCTGCAAAGCTTCAGGCAGATTTTAGGGTTATGATTTGTTTCTACTTGCTAAGAAAGCAGCTGGAACATTTTGAGTTCAGAAGACAGGGCAGGGGTGGGAAAGAATCAATTTGACAGTTGATCAGGTGGGGAAACTAAGGGTACCAGGCCATGAAAGTGGTCTCATTGCTTCTTCAAAACCAACTGAACCATCCAGCCTCCGTAAGTTTGAATCTAAAAATTAAAGAGGCTTGGCAATATAAATGTAAGAGCAGAGGCTAATGGGCATTATTTACCCAAAATGGACAAACTCATGCCATGTGTGGAACAAGACTATACTCAGAAAAATACCTATCTGTTCTATACAGAAATATACATTATGGTGTTGAAAGAACTCACAAAAGTGCTATAGAGTTGGTAAAAAACAATCTGTTATTTTTTAATATTTTTATTGATATGCTCCATAATAAAATACAAGTGTTAATAAATACATTGGTACAGGAAAAGTTTATGTCCAACAACAGTAAAAGAATGAATTCAAGTTGCAGTAATACACTGATAAAGAGTAAAACATTAGAAAAGCAAAACTCCTTTAAGGACAGACTGAACCATCCACTATGGGTCTGAGATCAAGTAATACAGGTAGCAAGAGTTTTTTCCACACAGGAAAATGAAGGCAGTTTTCCAAATACTGTGAATATACAAACATTGGGGAAGCGATACAATCCATACGCTGTGTACATCTGCCAGCGTTCTCTGGGATTCAGATCCCACCCTTTGTAAGTGCCAGTGGTAGCTACTGAAGGCATTGCAATAAGCTCAAAGGTCTGCTTCTTTCTCGTCTAAAGGGCTAGCTCGGCCACTTGCTTCCATGTGTGTCTGGGTCTTGTCTAGCAGCCCCTGCTCCCACCGCCCCTCAGCCAGTCCAAAGGGAAGCTCGCAAGCTCTAACTCTCTCCTAGGAAGCTGGTCTTGGTCACTGAGCTTACAACCAGCAGGAACAAAGCACCGTTTACATCTTATTGTATGGAGAAGCTTGGACTTAGGTCCAGGCCGGGCACTATGATACAGGTGATCTCTTAAAAAATGTCCTCCTGGTACCTTGCCAAATGGGATAAAAAAAATCAGATTATGTCTCTAAAGGCTGTCCTCCAATGCCCTGCCTTGGGGTAGGGGACAACTGGGGCCTTCCTTCCCCCCAGAGTCTGTCATTCTGCGGAGTTAACACGTAGCATGTGCAGAACATTGCAAGCCATCGATCGACATTGAATAATACAAGCCGTGATAGTCACATGATCCCCCTTTTCAATCTCCATTAAAAATAGAAGCACAAAGAAAATGCTGAAGAAAAGCCACACATTTCTCAGAACCCAAGGAAAAGAAAGCTTGTGGGTGAAATAGAGTGATGGCTACTGAGAGGCAGCCTGTCCATGCCCGACGACAGGAGTGGCATGTTGAGAAAATGCGGCCAGGGGAAAAACCCAAACTCTCAGGACAAAATCTCTAAGGGATTTATTTTTGGTCCTTTTAAAGTGAGTGCTCTCAATGCTCTCTGGAACCATGAGGAGAATTTAGAGTATTTCAATTAAAGTACAAAGAGAAAAGCAAAACAAGACCAAACAAAAATAATGATATCTCAAATCAATTTTCCCTCTCCTGGGCTCAGATAAATCATTTTACTTTTGTCTTGACTGCTCTCAGCCTCTGATAAAATAAGGGAAATAGCAGCAGCAAGACCATTTTAATAAAAGCTAATATGATGCCTACAAGGCAAAGAAAAATAAATACGATGTGAAGTTTCCCATTTTTGTCACAAAAGGGTTTTGTTGGAGTTTGAATGTTTAGAGCCTAATAGTCTTGGTGTAAGTTAGCAACAATAATTATAAGGATGTGCAGCGATATATGAATAATATTAACTTAAATTCACCATCAGCTCAGAATCATTTCTGAATAATTTTTCCGGTATTGAGACATCTCCACTAAAGGCCATAAAAGTGTTCCTCCAAAGCACAGTGCACCCTTTTCACTATGTCTAGAGTTTGATGGTAGCCAGGGGTTATGTTTCTTATAGGCAAATGCATTTGGGGGAGGTGAGAGGTAAGACCCTCCCATGAGGAAGGAGATGGGACACTTAGGTCTATATTTGGTTCAGTCTTATCAAGAGAGAGCCTTTGAGGAAATTCAGCACTACTGGGCTTACTTGTTTAACTTTTAATCTAAATTCTTTTGAATTCCTTTCCATTTCCAGTTTTCAGAGGGTCTGGAAAAAAAACAAACGTAACACTCTGTGACAAACCGTGACACTAGTTTAAAACGTCTCATAAGCAGGGGCTGAAGCCAGAAAACGATTTCTTTCTTCAATTATGTTTCTTCTGCCCCAAAACACTGTCTAATGCCAAACTAATGCCCATGCACACAGAGGTGGGTCCCATGCGTGCAAGTAACCATAGTAACAGGGGGTATACCTGATCCTGGAGACTCTCCCCTCCGGGCCTGGCTGCGGATTCTTCACAGACGGCAAGACTGCGAGTCAGTTTGCCTTTACCTGCTCCTGACTGGGAGGGGAAAGAAGAGGGGAGGAGAGAATAAAGAACAAACAGAAAACATTCTGGGGCAGTCAAATCAGGTCCACCTGCACGTGACAACCCCAAGCCAGGCCTTTCTACTGAGCTTCAGGCCAGCGCTCAGCGCCGTCTGTGTTGGCTCAAAGCATCAGAGCCCTGCGCCGACAGGGACAGAGTGAGGGGGTGGCATGGACGGGTTTAAGGAACACTTCCAGCGACCGATCGTGCCCGCCGCATTGGAAACGCACGAAGGATGAGTTGCTGCCATTTCATGAAGATGCCACAAGGAAAAGGCGACAGAAAATAATGTTTGGAAGCAACTTAACTGAGGATGGTTGAAAAAGATGATGAATGTGTCCTACATCCCAGCCCCTATTTACTTCCAGGCAGGGACTCACTGGGAAACGACACCATTCACCCCAAATTTTACTGACAGTGAAAACAAAACAAGCAGCTGCTTGCTTTGTAAAGCACAGTGGAATCTGCACGCGTGAACATGGGATCGAGTGCGCACATTCGCAGCTTTGGGAGCCCTAAGTGCTCTCATGAAAAAGCATCCAGAGCCAGAGCGACAAAGGCAGGTAGACGGGGACATGAGCCCATGAAAAGCCGACAGCACCAGGACAGCCAAAATCGGCCACAGTATCTCCACACAGCCATCTGAGTTGCTGGCAAATCCTTTAACTCAGATGTAAAAGATGCAACTGATATCCTGAGATCAGGTCTACAGAGAATCTCCAAACCCTACCTTTGACTTTCTTCTCTCTTGGTTCTGAGCTGCCAGCCGCCTCTGTATGTTAGAAATGAAATAAAGCAAAATAAAACGAACAAACAGTAAATGAACAATCGGGGGGGGGCGGGGTAGGGGGAGAGAATATGTGTCACTATAGTGGAGAAATCAACAGTAACAGCCACAAAGGTATTCTAAGTGCCCGGAGGACTTCTCCTCCCTTGGTTCCCCAAACTTTTGGCCACTGAACTTGCAGCTCTCTCTCCTTCAGCAGCTATTAGAGAAGAAAAGCCGACCTTGAAGGCTTTGGGCCATTATGTGGTTATCTGCCTTTGCTCACTCGTAAATAAAAAGTTAACACTTTTGTAGTTCCGTTCAAAGAAAATCCATACAAGCTATTTGCAAGTACAGTTGTTTTTCCTCTACTAAATCTTCTTTTCTCATAACTCATGATGCATTTAATCATGCCACTTCTTTAGTATTGTCAATCACCCTCAATCACTGCCAGTGCGCCCCTTGTATTTCTCTCTCCTTCTCTCTCTCTCTGTCTCTGGCTGGGAATTCGAGGGCTGGGGTTTGTTTGCTAATAAGAATCGAACCTCAGCTTGCCCATGAAGGTCGGCAGAGCACACGTCTTTGATTTTTCCTAGTTTATCAGGAGCTGAGTCTTCCTCTTTCCACAGAATAGCAAAGCCATTTCAAAGGGCATTGTCCAGCATGATTTAGTCAGGGGGAAAAAAGTGACTAATAGTTGGGAAAGGAGAGGATTAGCTTTATGGATTCCCTGGTCATTCTACTAGTCAAACTCTTTTTTAAAAAAAGAGGAACACAAAGCTTCAGAGTAGTCTAAAAATGAAAAGAGGAAATGCACACAATGGTGGGAGACACGGGTCCCCCAGGCTTACCTGCAGTTCCAGCTTCTCCTCTTCATCCAGACTCTCCGACTTGACAATGCCATTCTCAGGAGTGGTCCTGTCCTGCTCGGTCCCGCCTTCCTCCACTATGGCCTGATTCAGGTCCCCTGGCTCAGACATCCTCTCAGACGCAAATTAAAATAGCAAGGTTTGGTGCCCTGCAAGGTCACAATGTCAGAAAACAAAGTTAGAGCCGAGCCGGGTAAAGTATTTACCATTATTTTCCAGATATTTAATTTCTCCTTTTATATGCAGATTCAAATGAGCAGCTCAGGCATCCCTGCCCACAAAATCACACCAAGTACCCACGGCAAAGAGAAGAGGCAGATTTGGTTGCCCCATCCATACCCCTACGAACACATACGCCTGTGAACACACCTGGCCATTACAACGGGTAAACAAATAAACAGACACACGTACTTGCACACGTCTAACCTTCCCGTGCCCAACTACAAAGTAGAAGCAAAGGAACAAGACAGTATTTCTCCACCTCTTGCACAGATAGGACCCTGCGCTTCTGAGTCAGGAGGTGGTACTGGTGTTCTGCAGCGCCTTCAGGATGACTCAAAAATTATTTGCAAGTTTTAACCATAGACATACTTTTCTAGGTATAAGGAACACAGTGCACTCTAGGGGCAAAAATCAATTGAAGAGGTAAAATTCAGTATAAATGTAGGATCTAAATTGGGCAATAGACCTTTAAGGGCCAACACATTCAGGCTGCAAACTGACAGCGACTTGACTGGAAGCATGAGCCCCCTCCCCAGCTGGTGCTGCACAGATCCCGGGAAAGGGGGCTCCGGCAGCAGCTCCAAGGAAGCTATGGCACTGAAAGCCGCCGCCCCGGGCTCACGGTGGGCTACTGCACAGCCTCTAGAGGTGGCTTTTCAAAGTTCAAGCCCGTTTGTTTATTTACTTTTCTCCCTGACCCCTGACACTTCCCCTTCTGCCAGCGGTCAAAGGAGGCTCCTGAATACTTTAGCATTTACTTTCTCCTCGCTTTCTTTCTTTCTTTTTTTTTTTTTTAAGATGTGAGAAAAAAAGAAGGAAGGAAAGAGAGAAAAAGACATCATAGCCTAGGAAGTCAGTTTTTTGGTGTTTTTCCCCCACAAACATTCCCAAGCAATGACTGCTCTGTTCCCAGTCGTTACAGATGTAATTATTATTGGACAAATCAGTGTTTTGATATGTTTCCTTGGGAGTGTTTAATTACCATTTGCTAATTCAGTATCTTGGTTTCCAGCAGGATATAGGAAATATGAGAAAAAGCTAAAACACAGCAGCAATTTCTGTTGCAAATTTGCTAAGATCCACCATGACCGGCCGGATGGTATGTAATGGTATCTATAAAAACGCAGGCTTGTTTGGCAGAGGACTGTGGGAGTGAAAGGGGAAAGTTTTCCTAAAGAATGGTGGTTTGGGTCTGTGGGTGACTCGTGAGCAGTGCTTTTAGGATGGGGAGGTTTTTAGCTGTTTTCAGTGTATTGTGACAGATTTCTCTTCTTGCCGGGAAATTGGGTATGTATGTAATTAACAAAATAAAAAGTTCTGTTTCCCAGTGGCAAACAGCTTGTCTCTCAATGTACTGGGTAGGAGGAGGAGATGGGACTTCTGTGGCCCTAACTTTTTTCCCCCAGAGCATTTCAATAAAAAAAACCAAAAAACCCAACACAGATTGTGACCAGATTTAAAAAGGAAAGTGGAATGAGCACATGGAGTTTGATTTTACAATTGAGAAGCCAGTTGAGACCCTCATACAGATCCTGTCTGTGCTGTTTACATTTGATGAACTGCTCTATGCAAACAGGCACGCTTATGTAACAATAAAAAAAATACAGATGAGATGACAGCCAGGCGAGACTTTTTACCTTTTGTGCAGAATTCCTGTTGTGGGTCTCGGCGACTTAACTAGCGGCTTCTGTCGTCCTTCACCGGGAAAATCCACACAGGAGATCAGAGGCAACTGGAGTCCCATGTCCCCATTAACAGTTCGGAATGCCCATGTCCATGCGGTTCCCTTACACAGTTTGACACATTGTCAGCCTGAAAAAAGATGAAAAATCAATGAGAAGAACTGCACCAACCATGGCAGAGTGAAGGACAAAAGACAGAAGACCGGGCTTCTAACACTAATGACCAGCTTGCAGCGAGAGCCCGCTCACGGCCTGCTCCAGCCCCACCTGTCCCAAGCTGCCGGCTTCTCTCTAATGAAGGCTGCAGCCGGCTGTTCAAGTCAGAACGGCACCCACGCAAGGAGCTAAAATTAACAATTGCATTATGCACTGAAGATTACTCACTTCAATTTTAACCTTTTTTAGTGAAATCTCTCACTTTATAGTTAAAAAAAACACCACAAAAAAACCCAACAAGCTTGTGTGTTTGCCTCAATGAGAACCCAGATCACCTGGTGAGCAAAAGTCTCGCCTCGTTTTTAAACCAAGGCCTTTGTCTTAATTGCATATTCGCGTGATACACCTTAATGTCGTTTCGGGGGCTCTTGCTTTATAAGAGTTACCCTAACGAAGCGGACGTGAAGATTTCAATTTAATGAGCCATTGGCTCCTGGGCGAAGGTAGAGGCGAGCTCACGGTGGCCTGGCTGAGAGAGCCCTTTCCTCTCCCTGGAGCCCTAACACTCAGTGCACCGTGAGCACAGCCTCCCGGGACCCCTCCCTCCCCAGCAGGATTGCCCCGCCAGCGGGGCCTTCTGTTTGACAGCAAAGACATGCTGCTGTCAGAGGGATCCGACAGATTTGCAAACTTTGAGCCTGCTGAAAACAATCCCCGCTCTAACGTGCACTTTCCTTTTCTCACCACTCCTACAGGAGCAGAGGCAAAGAGGCCTGAAAGCAAACGAGAGACGGGTCCCTAAGGACACTCGCCCAACCCAAGCTGCAGCCCCACTCCTGCTGGCCTGCTAAGCCCCGGGCACGCACCCCTCTCCCAGCCCATAGCCATCTTTGAGGACAGTCAGGGCATCTCAGTCATGTCGTCTGAAGTTCAGAAACCCTCTCTGCCTCCCTCCCCCGTGCCCCCCCCAGGTTTAAAAGAGCACAGCTGGTTCCTCGCCGGCTTTTGCCGCGGCCACGGCTACGTTAGCGGCATATTGGGTTACAGCGCCATGTGCTGTGCGGGGGAAAAACAACTTTTGAAAGTGCTTTCGCTTATGCACTCAGTCATTTCTAGCTTTATTCATGTTTTATTAAAACGGATAATTCGGCTTTGAAATATGTTTCTTTGGTTGTTAGAAATTATATAGCCTATTGAGAGATAAGCAAACACGCGTTTACGACAAAAATGAGTCGTGCATCAACAGTAATTCCAATCCTTCAATTTTGACCAGTTTCCCACAGCTCCTATGACTCACACTCAAATTAAACAGAAGTCGACACGGCTTAAAATGAGAATCTATTTAAGTAACCAGGCATTATCTAATATGTCTTAGAATAGGCACCAGCGATGGCTGGAATTACCAAATGCCTTCTGAATGGTTTCCTCTCCCAAGGGAAATGAGGCGTCGACGGTCACCGCGACCCTTCTGCCTCCTTTCTCTGACCCTCGCATTTGGCCGGCGGCCTGCAACCCGACAGGTGAACGGCAGCGCCGCTCTCTGATCTAAACCGGCGGCGTTGTTCCGGTGCCAGTAGGTGGGTGCAAGATTTACTGCCCCCGAGACGGAGGGGCGAGGAGCGGACAGCCCGCAGCCGGCTGGGCGCAGCCACCGGGGCGCGCTCCGAAATAGCAGGAGCGGCCCGCGGCCTGAGTCAGTCACATCCACGCAGACGGAGGGTGCGGGCGTGTGGGCGGGAGCGGCGAGCATATGGATCACAAATATTTTTGTAGCTGCTTAAAATTGTTCTCTTTGCTAAGAAGGCAGTGCCAGGAAATCGACTACTCCAGCTCTCTGTTCGCCAAACTCACCCAACTCTTCCAGTGCCATTTCATCTTAATCTGTTCCAATTCCTCCCATTTTTACTAAGAAGCAAAGTGATTTTTAACAAATACCTTTAATCCAACATTTAGCTAATAGATGTCCTGGCCAGGTTTCAAGTGTTATAGTTAGAGGGGTGGAGGAAGAAAGGCGAGACTCTACAAAGGCACAAAATAAAAGTTACTGTAGTTCTTTCAATGGAGATATTGAAACCATAATTTAGAGCAGCGATTTTCAACCCTCTTCATCTCATGGCACACACAAACTAATTACTAAAATTCTGCGGCACACCAAAAATACATTATTTTTTGCCGATCTGACCCCCCCCCAAAAAAAGGTGTAATTTTGATTCATTCATACCAGATGGCTACTGTTGTGTTGGGTGTTGTCAGTTTTTTATTTGACAGTCTTAGGGAAAAGAGGTCAGTGCCCCTGACTAACTAGTCAGGAATTGCGTGTTTTAAACATTCCTGTGGCTCACTGGTTGAAAATCACCGATTCAAAGGATAGTTCTTAGTAAAGGGGGCTAATTTCTTGCAAAAACAATTGATCAAATATACTCACAGCTTTTTACAGTGAGGAAACTAAGTAAAATAATTACCACTTCACCTTATATTTTTATTGTTTCTTATTTCTTTAGCTTTCTTTAGAGCTGAAAATAGCAATTATGGGATTGTGAGGATGGGAAAGAGAGGGAGAGAGGGGAAAAGTACAATGCCAAATGCCAAATATTCTGTCTTTTATCCCCACCAACAAAACAGATGTGTCCTAACTGTGTGTGGGGGGGGGTGCATGCATGTGTGTGTGTGTGCATGTACGTGCGTGTGTATTGCATGTATTAATCATGGGGCTGTCATGTGGAGAGAAAGATGAAACTTGATTCAGGTTCCAACAGCAACCTAGTTCTCCGGGGATGGCTGAAATGGGAAATTAAAGTTGAATTCTATTAGCATGTTAGGAGGGTCACTTTTATTAGTCATTTTCCTCACAATCTTTTTACTAAATATTAACACAGGATGACTAACCTTATTCCAAATCAGTAGAGGTACTTTGTGATGAAACAACACAACCAAGACTTACTTATTTGAATGACTGAAATGTTTCCCCCTTATGCACTGTTCAGTCTTTTTTTAAAGCTGGTCACACTTCTGCAAATGTAAACCACTTGCAAATTGTGGTGATAATAGTGATTTGTCAATTTGCTACATATGATATCTAAGAGCTGCAACACCTTATAAACCAAAGACATATCCTGTTCTCAAAACAGTTATTCTATTAAGGTTTCAGAACATATTATCAATGTGTAAGCTTAAGTTAAAGGGGAAAAAAATTGGAATACGATTCTTTCAGAAATGAGAGCAGTCGTACTATGAACAGAGTGTACAAGCTAGTATCTTCAGCAAGTTTGAAAATTTCCCCAGGTGACAAAAAAAAAAAAAAAAAAA